TCAGATCAATGCCAGTAGCCCATGCCTGTAATCCTACTTATGCAGGAGGCTGAGATCTGAGAATCGCAGTTGGAAGCCAACCTGGGCAGACCAATCTGAGAGACTCTTCTATTTCCAACTAATCAACAGTAAAAGGAGGTGGCCGTGTGGCTCAAGTGGTAGAGCACCAGCCTTCAAGCCAAAAAACAAAATACAAAAACAACAAAACACCAAGCAACAGGCCTTGAATTCAAGCCCTAGTACTGACTGGCATACACGTACATGAAGACAAACAAATAATGCTAAATCCCTCTCCGAAGCCCTAACTTGCTTTTTCCTTTGCAGGAAATACCGTCTTCCTTCCACCCATCCTCATTTTCTCATCTTTCAGGTCACAGTTAAAATACCCATTCCTCAGAAAGGCTTCACACTCAGACTTGGTGGTACATACCTGTGATCTTAGCACTTAGGAGACTGATGTAGTGTTTGGCAAGCCTGGGCCATATATCAGGTTTGAAGCTAGCCTGGGCTACAGGGTGAAACCCTATCTCAAAGAAAGGAAGGAAGGAAGGTAGGAAGAAAGAAAGGAAAGAAATGAAAGGAAAGAAAAAGAGGAAGAAAGGAAGGAGAAGGCAGGATGGAAGGAGGGAAGGAAAGAATCCCCCCATATACTTATGATGGATTCTTCCAGAACTGTTATTACCTAGTTTATTTCCTCTATAGAACTTAGAACAGTCATTATCGTGTTCATTTGTTTATTTGCCTATCATCCTTCTCTGCCAGCCTCATGAAGACAAGGGTGCCTGTCATGATTATGCTTTATCTCTGACACACAGTAGCTTCTCTAATTAGATGAATCTATGCATAATGAAACCACTCCCTCCAAGACTTCTGTTTCCTGTCTCTTGAATGTGTCCCTATCATCCCCCAAGCACTGCCTGGTTCAGGATCCATCACTTCTACCTGTGTTTGGGGGGGGGCAATATCTTACCCAAAGGATTTCCCTGTCTCTCTGGCCCAGGCTACTCCATTCACTCAGCACACAGCAGTTATGCAAATGATCCTGTAAAATGCAAATGAGATTTGGCATACCCTGCTGCAAAGCTTCTGTGGCCCTTTCTATGGGGGGAAATATCAAATTGCTTCGGTGAGATTCTTAATTGCCCTCCGCCGTGCACCGCCTTGGTGGCATCTTAAAAACTTGTCCCCTCACTCACCATCATATGATCAGGCAAAACCTGCCTAGAGTTCCAGAAGAAAGCCGGGTATCTCATATAAGTTGCTCTTTTCATGAGTCCTCCTGAATTCCCTCTGATCCCACTCCTATCTAGCTAACACTGCTAGAATACAACTGAGTCCTTCAGGGGTCAAGCTTCACCAACTTACTGTGTGTACTTGACATTATTCTCAGGATCTCTCTCCTCTTCAGCTTGTTTACCAGCTCTCCAGCAGATGGCGCTGTTTTTTTGTTTGTTTTTTTGCCAGTCCTGGAGTTTGAACTCTGGACCTGGGCACTGTCCCTGAGCTTCTTTTGCTCAAAGCTAGCACTCTATCATTTGAGCCACAGCGCCACTTCCGGCCTTTTCTGTTTATGTGGTACTGAGGAATCGAACCCAGGGCTTCGTGCATGCTAGGTGAGCACTCTACCACTAAGCCACATTGCCAGCCCAAGGGCACCCTGACCTTGTATGGCCTGGTTACATAAAGCAGATCATTTGGTAGGGAGTATGGATTCTATAGCATCAGGCAGTTAGGCAGGCTTGTGGTCAGGGCTTCACTCTACCCCACCCCCACCCCCCTGCCTACCGTCATGGGGTTTGAACTCTGGGGTTTGAACTCTGGGGCTGGGAGCTGTCCCTCAGCTCTTCAGCTCAAGGCTAGCACTCTACCACTTGAGCCACAGCACCACTTCCAGCTTTTTCTATTTATGTGGTGCTGAGGAATCAAACCCAGGGCCTCATGCATGCGAGGCAAGCACTTTACCACGGATCCACCTTCCCAGCCCTTCACTCTTCTTTTTTACTTTATATTTTTCGCCGGTCCTGAGGCTTGAACACTGGGCCTGGGCACTGTCCCTGAGCTCCTTTTGCTCAAAGCTAGCACTCTACCACTTGAGCCACAGCCCCATTTCTGACTTTTTTGTGTGATGTAATTGGAGCTAAGAGTCTCACAGATTTTCCTGCCCTGGCCAGCTTTGAATTTTGTTACTCAGATCTCAGCCTGCTGAGTAGCTAGGATTACAGGTGTGAGCCACCAGTACCCAGCAGGGGCTTCACTGTTTGCTTTAACTTTTTTTTTTTCCTCAAGGCTGCCCTCTACCACTTGAGTCATACTTCCATTTCCAGCTTTTTTTGTGTGTATGTCAGTTATGGGGCTTGAACTCAGGGCCTAGGCATTGTTCTGAGCTCTTTTGCTCAAGGCTAACACTCTGACACTTTGAACCACAGCGCCACTTCTGGTTTTCCAGTGGTTAATTGGAGATAAAGTCTCCTGGACTTTCCTGCCTGGGCTGGCTTGGAGCCATGATTCTCAGGTCTCAGCCTCTTGAGTATCTAGGATTACAGAAGTGAGCCACAAACACCCAGCAAGCTAAAGACTCTGGATTTGTAAAACAAGGCTAACATGTATTTCATGGTTTTTGTAAAGATCAGATGAGGTAGATACACATGAGGAGTTTAGTACAGTGAGCAAGTAGAGACTCCTTCAATTCTTTTGTATGAGTAGGTATTTCCAGGATGACATATTGGAAATGGAAAGCACTTCCACTTCAGAGGTACTCTATTAACTGCTGATTAAATAGAGCAGAGGCAATACAGACTCCACTGCTTCTACAGCCAAAACCCTCAAACACTTCCGATTGCCCAAAGTTAAATGTGGTCTACTCAGTTGGGCACTGTGGCTCATGCCTTGCTAGCTGACAGCTAGAGCGCTTCTACTTGAGATATACTTCCATTTTTTTGGCTTTTTGGTGCTTACTTGGAGATAAGAAATCTCACAGATTTTCTTGCCTGAGCTAGCCTGAACTATAATCCTCAGCTCTCAGCTTCCTGAGTAGTTAGGAGCATATATCTGAGCCACTGGCACCCAGCTTATCTTCGAATTTCACACATAGTATCTCATCTGTTCACATGGCTTTCTCTCTCCACAAAAGACATGGACTTCCAGCCCTGCCATGAAGCCCAATTATGTAGGGCCTGATGGATAATCAAAGAAAAGAAAACTTTTGTGTTGAGTAATACTTCCACTGTGAACGCAACAATCAGAGGACCAGAATGGGCTGGGAGGAGAAACTGAGGCCAGAGTGTTTATGAGTAATTTTCTCCCCAAGAAGACAGAACTGGCTGCATATCAAAATCTATCTGACAGCTGGGTGCAAGGGGCTCACACCTGTAATCCTAGTTACTCAGGAAGTTGAATCTGAGGATTATTGTTCAAAACTAGCCCAGGCAGGAAAGTCCATGAGATTCTTATTTTCAATTAACCACCAAAACAAACAAACAAACAAAAAAAACAACAACAAGTGGTAGCCTTGAGTGAAAAACTAGAGGACAATACCCAGGTCCTGAGTTCAAACCCTGTACTAACACATACAGTCAGGCACACACACACACACACATACACACACACACATCCGCCCATCTGACCTCCCTGCTCATGCCCCTCCCCCAACAGAACTGGTTCTGTGTTAAGAGTGAATTTCTCCAGGGTCTCTGGTTTCCGGCAAATAGGGTCTCAATTTCCAGATTCAAGATCCAAGTCTTCAGGCAAGGCATGAAACACTATAGACAGCTCTGAGGATTGAAGGTATAAAACCATGTAGTGGCTGTCTATTTTTTTTAACCCTTTAGATAAAGGAACCAGGCCTAGGCATGAGAAAAAAGTGTGCCGACATCTTCCCCCTTGGCTGGAAATATCCTGGAGAGCCCAAGGATCAGCAGAAGGTAGTGAAAGAGGAGCTGGGTCCATTGACATAGCTGCTGTTATAGCAGCCACAGCCAAAGGAGGTCACCATTGATCTTGCATGCACTTAATTCTGCAAGGAAGCTGGGGGAGATGGCTGCGGCTGGAGGCTGAGAGGATACCTCTCTCTCTCTTGCTCTCTGGTCCCTAAGACTCCACTCTGGTAATTTCAGGGTTGCAAAATCACCACTGGATGGAGTAAGCGTTGGGGAGTCAGAGTGGGGTGCAGCCAGGCCAACGGAATCAGGATTGTTTGTGTGTATGTGTGTGGGGGGTGGGTGCGATTCTTGAAAGCCAGGCAAGAGGCAACCTCCTACCCCAGGACCCCGGGAAGTCCAGACTCCCGGCCCCAAGTCTTTCTGTTACGTGATCCTCACTCCAGGGCCGAGATCCAGGCCCGGCTCCACCCAGAGGTTCCAGGAAGATGACAAGACCACGACCCCAGCAGGCATCGGGGAGGAGGAGAGAGGAGGAGCGTCTTTGTGCACTCCGTCACTCGTCCCCGGCTGCCCGGGGGAGCTGGGTCCATTCCCGCAAAGCCCAGCCACAGTGGGCCCCCGAGACCTCAAAGGAAGCAGCCGCCAGCGCCTCCGCCCCTGGCAGGGTCCGCCCCGCCCCGGCCCCGCCCTCCGGCCTTTCGCGCTACCCTCGCCTGGGTCCCAGCGCCGGAAGCCCCCTTTCCCTCCCCCGACCCCTGACGGGGTCGCTACCCACCCCTCAGTCCCTCTCCCCGCGCGCGGGTCCCGGGAAACCTCTCTCCACCGCGCCCCGCCCAGTTCCTCTCCCGCTCCAGCGCCGCCCGGGGCCCCTCAGTCCAACGCCTCGGCCCCGCCCCCGCCCCGCCCCAGAAGGCCCCGCCCCGCTCCAGAAGGCCACGCCCCCCGAGGATGACCGCGCCCCACGTCGCCGCTAGCTTGGGTCTTCGAGCCCCAGACACCCCGCCCCTCCTTACCAGGCCACGCCCACTTCTCTCTATCCCGCTCGCTTCGGCCTCCTAGCCCCGCCTCCTGGGCTCCGGAAGCTTCTCCCCGCCCCCGGCCCCGCCCCCCGAAGTTTCTTGAGCCCGGGGCGGCGGGCGGGACAGAACGTAGGGAGCCGCCGCCCGGGCCGCGCGCTGATGGAGCTGGCGGGTCCCGCGCGGCGCCGGGAGTGAGCGGCGGAGCCTCGAGCCGGACCTCACGGACTCGCCATGGAAGAGGAGGTGAGGGCCGGGCCGGGCCATACTGGGGTGGGGAGAGGTGGGGTCGGCTAGGCAAAGGGGGGTCAGTGAGACTCTCGCGGGGTGGTTGGGGTCCCGGGCTCAGGCCTTCGTTCGTTTCTGACTCTCCATCGGCCTGGGAACCCCGTGGGCCCCCCTTCCTCACTCCCCCCACGAGAAAGCCTGGGGTAGAGGCGGGGGAAGAGCACGGCGTCCGGCACTTCGCAGACCGCATCCTCTTTCATCATGGTTTTTCTCTCTGTGTGGAAATCGTGGCTGGTATTGTTCCCATTGGATTGATGGGGAGACTGAGGCTCCAGCTTGCTGGGAAGTGGCCTGGGTCGCCTGCTGTATCCCCAACCCTGTGCTGGCCAAGTCCGTGTCTATATGTGCTTGTGGCTTCCACGATCGTTGGCTCGAGGGATCTTGACACTGTTAACAGTGCCTGGTGGCAGGAAGACCGAGGAAATGACTTTTTCCTCCCTTGTGTAAGTCCCCTGCGAGTCCTCTGCTTCCCTCCTCTCATCTTCCCTGGCCCAAATCCTCCCGAAGACACCAGCTAAAAAGTCAGGTCTCTGCTTTCCCCACATCCCTGAGAAGGCCTGAGTTCCCCGGGGAGCCGAGAACTGGTCTAACCAATGTCTCTTGAGTCTCACTCTTACCTTCTCAGGACACTTTTGGTCTGGGGTGTCTTCAGGTACCCCATGATCTCCACCCTTTGCATGCAAACTATTCTCCCAGCACTCCTAGTGAGTATTTAATGACTGTCTGTGGCATGAATGTGAATATGAATATGATTTTTTCTTTTTCTGCTGTGCCAGTACTGGGCTTGAACTCAGGGCCTGGGCACGGTCTCTTAGCTTTTTTCACTCGAGGCTTGCAGGTACTCTACCACTTGAGCCACAGCTCCATTTTGGGCTTTTTTTTTTTGGTGGTTAATTGGCTGGTTTTGAACTCCTCAAATTTCAGCTTCTTGCGTAGCCAGGTTACAGGTGTGAGCCACTGGCTTGTCTTATCTCTTGAATTTTTCACCATCTTTTGCCCTTACAAGTTCAAAGGAAGGAAGGATCTGTTTTTGCCTGGATGAGTGGCAAGGAAACTAGTTATCTGGAGACCCCTGAGTGGTCTACATTGCCTGAGTCCTTGTCAGTGTCCACCTCCCTACTTCCTGGGGCCACTGGTCAAGAGCAGGTAGGCGGGTGACTCCCTCTAGGCCAGGCCCTGTAGTTCTGTGGGATGATAGATAAGTCACTTCCCCTCTTAGCCAGCGTTTCCTCTTCTATAAAATACAGGGCCTAGCCACCTCCCCCCAGGCCTGAGGGTATGATGTAGTCCCTTCACTGAGTGGGCCTAGGTAGGAGGCCAAGCAGGCCACTAAGATTGGCTGTGGTTTCTTTCTTGCTGTCACGGGTGGGGCTGCTGTCTGTCCTGGGCACTTGGTTCTCTGGTTCAGGCCCCTCCTCTGTTCTCTGAGGATGTGGATGAAAAATACTCCATCTCCTGATCTGCTTTGGCCCCAATTAAAGGGAGCTTCCCTGAGCTCAGCTCAGCCCTGTGTTCCCTCTGGTCCTTGATCTCTAATAGTGTGACTTTCTGACTCCCAGACGTCAAGAACTGTCTGAATACCCGGGCCATCTCAAGTCATGCCCACTTTATTTCCTCCCTCCATCCCCTAAGTCTTATTTCACTTACACATGGCTGCTTTTCACCCTCCCACTAGCTTTCTGCTTCCTTCCTGGGCCCCCTGCATGACCCCCTCAGCCTCAGTGATCTCTGCAGTAGGTTGGTGGTCTGTATCAGGCTGAAGTTTGGTGAAGAAGTGCTGATTTGGGCTTTGAACATCTCCTTAAATATATTCTCTGGGCTTTCGTTTCCCCAGATGAAAAGGGAGAGAAGGATCCAGAAATAGGCTAATGCGTGTGCAAAAACTTTGAAAACTATACCTATCAGTGGTGTAAGGTTGGAAACCTTGGATCTAGGCTTCTACCCTAAGGCTCTGTCCCCTGCCCTCCCGAAGTCCTGCCTTCCCTGGCTCCACACTGCTTACTTGAGCTTCTTGAGACAGGAGGGGACAGTGCCCTGTCCCAACACTGGGTTGTGACATTGGGCTAATTAAGGTTGTGTCTTTTCAGGGGTGAAGGGATTGAGAGTGGAGTTCCTTCTCTTACTTCCTTGAGCTCTGTCCTTCTCAAATGACTTCCTAGACTAGAAACTTTGAAGTGAGGGACGTCTACCGGCTCCTTACACCCATTCCCCACACTAGAGGTTTCCCTGAGGCGGGGTCTGTGTTCCCCTAAGGCAGAGCCCTGTACTTCCTTTCTGTGTCTGCTCTGCCACAGGCTCCGATCACAGGGCTCTGATGTGGTGGCTTCTCTCTAGAGTTTGGGCTGCTTCACTGGGTTTAGTCTAAGGGCAAAGGTTGGCTTGAGCTGCCAGGGTCTGTAATGTCATGTGCCAATAAAATTTCTTCTTCTGGCCTCGGTCTTAAGTTTGTTATGGTTTTCTATCTGTCTTCTAAGCACAAAGAGAAGAGTGACCTGGCTTTAAAAAATTTTGGTGCCAGCTGGGCGCTGGTGGCTCACGCCTGTAATCCTAGCTACTCAGGAGGCTGAGATCTGAGGATCGCGGTTCAAAGGCAGCCCAGGCAGGAGAGACCGTGAGACTCCTATCT